TTTAGCCCTTTCTATAAGACCATCCATCTGGGGAGTGTGCACGGAATGGGCGTTATGTAACAGCAATAACACCTTCTGAACATCCGATTGTGCCAATTGATCGTTTATTCCTTGAAGAACTTCATCTAAAACGAGAGAAATTAATTAATCAATGGTAAAATAAAAATAGACTTTAAATCTATAAATCCAATGAAAATTGGGATTTATAAACAATAATTTAATAATTAGAAAGAAACTTAGAAAGAAATTAACATTTGAGAAATTGGAAAATTTTTTCAATGGTAAAATCTAGAAAACCAATTGAAATATGTGACTTTACTCACATCGATATTCCCAAAACTCAAACTCATCCCGCACGGTGGCCAGATCATGGGGAACCGTCAAAGTATCATCTCCCAGCAAAGTGCGAATCTGTGTGGTCCAGTATAGAGCAATACCTTCCAAGCTCCTTACCATTTGCCTATCAACAGATCCAGCCGTCAGTTCCTTGATGACATAGGGCACATACAGCACGGCCACCCCCGAGATTTGATGGTGCATCCCTGTGAGAAAGGCCAGGAACCTGTCCATACTGGAGCAAAAGCGATGTCTCACAGTGGCATTCCATTCGAGATAGTTCCTGAAGAAGGGGGTGTACAAGCGATCCAGTAGCTCCATCAAACACCCATCCACATCACTTGTCAAGGTGCCAAAGTTGATCTCATCGTGGAAGCCCTCCACGCTAAAGATCTCGTTCGGTTCCCGGCGAAAGTAACTCAGATCCGAGACACAAGTGTTGGGCATGCCCAGACAGGCAGATAGGGCATCTCTGTCGTAGTATATGGTCAACAAGGGTTCGTGCACCTCCAGGAGCCAACGTCGGATGATGTCCAGAGTTCCTTCATGCCAGTCCCTATGATCCAAGCAGCTCAACACACTCATGCGCTGTATGTAGCCAACCAAGTGATGCAGTTCCTCGTCGGTATAGGACGGTTTTGGGGTCTCGGGGCGGAGTTCTTCCTGACGGGGTTCCGCGCTGCGTTCTGGGATTTAAGACTTGTAAGATTATGGAACGGAAGTACAGGCCAGAATTTACCTTCATCATCAGTTAAGTCAGAGTCTGTAAGGTGTTCATCTTCTACAGCGCTGGAGGAGGCCATTTCACGGCGTTTTTACAAACCAAAGGATGAAAAAAACTTGAAAAGTAAACAAAGCCATGGCAACCGGAAGCCGGTTGTACCGATTTTTGAATAGTTCAGGGTAAAAAATAACTATATTTAGAAACTCTATGTATTTTTGTCTTTCAGAAGTTATAAATATCTCCTAACTTTAAACAATATATTTAAATGTTTCTTGCATATCTAAGATAGTTTTTTTAACTATATTTTAAATCCATTCAAAAAGTAACGATAAAGTGAAAGTGTTGGAAATCACTAAAAATATGAAATATATATATATGAAATCTTTAAAAACAGTGTGGGATTTATAATCTCATAACTCCTTTTAATTTAGCATTTTAAAAAGATTTTTTAAAAATAGTGTTGTTAAGATTCCAAACGTCATGTCTGTTATTTTTAAATTACTTTGGCGGAATCCCCTTACCAACAGGCAATTTCTGCCCAACCAACTTTGGTCACACCAAGCCGATCAAAATTTAAAAACGCTATTTCGGAAACGTAAAGTCGTGCATATAATGGCTGTTTCGGCAGAAATCGAAAGGGTGATTGACCAGGGCAACTATCTGATGCCCGACATCAACATGTCCCAAAGCGATTTGGCCAATCCCACCGAGCCCATTGTAACCAAGATCATGGTGCACTATCTGCGCTGTTTTGGATTCCGCGTCGAGCCGCCCTATAAGATTGGCTCTGAACTAGCCCACTCATCGCGTGAGGCGCGCGTCTTTCTCATCCGGGTGTGCCGCCAAGTGGAGCGCATCATTCAGATCTGCTTTCCCAACAAGACCTACACCTATCTGGACATCATTAAACCAGGTGAGCCGCAGAATCTAAAGGCATTCTTACTGCCCTCTTTATTTTCATGATACAGCTTATTACAAGCTTAAGTTGCTACTACATTTATAGTCGAGAAGATCTGTTTTTTGCTGTATTAAAAGGATCATTACATTTTTAGTTCGATTGCTTGACTATTTCTTCCTGAACTCTTTAACTATAAACTATTCTAATGTCATCTTTGACAAGCCTTCTAAGTCAAGAGAAAATAACAATGGCTTATTGTTTCCCTTCGCCTGACAGCTGTTAAGAAGACACTGACCACCCTGAGCTACCTTTTCAATTACCTGGCCTACTACAAAGTGTTCAAGAAAAGCGTGCTGGGACCCGTGGAGGAAGCCATCAAGCTGAAGGACTCGCTGACAGCTGAGCTGAAAGCCAAGAGCCAGCAGTTGGAGCAGCGCAAGCAGAAGACGAAGGAGTGCGAGGTGGCCATTAGCCAGCTCAAGAAAGATCTGCAGGATACCCAAGCAAAGCTCCTTCCACTGAAAAAGTCCTGCAGCGAGCAGACCAATGCCCTGGAACTCATCGAGCAGCAGCAAACTGAGTTGGACATGCGCATCGCCCACTGGGAGCAGCTGGTCGTAAAGGATGGTCAAGTGAACGAGCTGCAAAAGTAAGTGGTGCTAGTGAGCCACGGGTTTCCCTTTGCTTATAAAACCTTTCTTCGTTGCAGAAACATCAAGAGCGCCAACTTGCACGTCGAGAGCTGCAAAGCGGAGCTGGCCATTAAGAAGCAGGTGACCAACGAACATCGCCGGGTGATCGAGGCCAGCCAGCAGACAGTCACGGCGCTGGAGGAGGCCACGGCTGTGTTGCCCCTCGGCAAACTGGAGGAGTACAAGGAAAGCTCCAAGCATCTGGAGGCGGTGGAGGACCAATTGGCCAGCTTGGAGGCCAATTACCGGAAGCGTCGCCAGGAATTGGAGGCCAGGAAGCAGGAGCTCTCCCTCAGCGAACAGCAGTGCGAGGCTATGAAGCAGATCAACGAAGCGGAGCATCACAAGCTTCAAAAGGAACTCGAAAAACTAAAGGCCGATCTTGAGGAGAGAAAGAACCAGATAGAAGTCCTGGACAACATCATCATCGATCTGGAGCAGCAGCGTTTGGAAAAAGAGCAGCTCCATGCCATCTTGATGGAGCAGCTCACTGAGATTTTCGGCGAAAACTGGCAGTTGAATTCCACTTAATATACTGATTTTATTCTATAAACTGCAAAACAGCTCAGCTCGTTTTTATGGTTAGGATTGAACAAAGGGGCCACCGGTTTACGTCTCCATTTTCTTGCTCTCCAGATGGGCCTTCAGCTGCTGGCTAAAGTCATCCTCCACATTGTCGTCGTCCCAGTTGTCCTCCCACACATTGAGCTCCTCCTCGTCGTCGCCAACGCGGAAATCTGCAATGGAAGCAATTAGAAACTCCCAATTTTCGCAATTTATGGTGTCCTACCTTCGGCGGGAAACTCCTCGAACTCGTCGTCTTCCTCCAGGAGACCCAAGTCCTCCCCCTTGTTGTTGGTCTCCTCCTTCTCTTTCTCCTTTTCCTTATCGGGTGCAGACATTTTTGGTTTTGTGATTAATTAAAAGGAGAAACAATGTTTTTGACGATATTTTTTGTTGCCAAAATGATGCCTAGTCACTTGGAGTGTGACCGCTGTAAGAAAAATACTTTTTATCAGTTGTATTATTTGAAATATACGAAAATACGGTCTCACCAAAACGGCGGTGTGTGTCCTCGCTAATTAAGCGGTGTCACTCTCCGAGTTTGGTTGAATTGAAACACAGTTGAATGAAGTTGAATTGATACCCATTCAATTGTTTTTTTCCATTGTAGAAGTCTAAATAATTTAAACAATTTCAATCTATTTAAGAACCAAATTAAGTTGAAAATTAACAAACATTTATGTATTTTCAAAGATTTGTTTAAAAAAAGAAAACATCAAAATCTTTGATCCTACATCATTTTAAAATGCTTTATCAAACATTTTAAACGTATTTAAGAATTTTTACCTTTCAACTTCAATCGGGTTAATAAAACACTTTAAACATAGTTACTTTTTTATGCATTTAATGATTTGTATAACATTTTTACTGCTGGCTATTTGACTTTCAAGCTAAAAGGATTATTGAGCATTTGGGTTTTAAGCTACATTTAATTTAACTGTTGCTGCTGGTTGGCTATTTTAAACAATTAGAGCAAAAATGTACATACGTTAGTTTAACATTAATAAATATATTTGTTATATGCTTATAGGTTTTCATATTGTTTCTGTTCTTGAGTTGCTGCCTTTTGATTTATTGCATAGCGAACTTTCGGTTTTGTCTATTTCTGGGTTGGATTTCGTGGCGTCCAAAATATGTAATGAAAATAAAAAATATTTCTCGATTCGTATTCTCCCATTCTCTTCACTTAATCTTAAAAATTTTGTATGCCAAAATATATACTTTTTGTTTTTTTGTTCTGTTAGTTTCAGTGTCTAGTTTACATTTTCATATAACTGTAGTTTAACATTTAACATTTAGTTGTTGCGGTCTGCAAATCTACATAATTAAATAGTTTGTTTTGATTTCATTTGTGTTTGCTTTTAGTCTGCTAATGTAATATACGAGGAATAAAACACCTTACATTTGATTAGTAATATTGTTGATCAGTTTTGTGTGTTGTCTCGGGCTCCGCTCCCCACTCTTCTATTCTCCTCTCTCTCCTCTAAACATTATTATTAATCACAGATGCTCTACGCACAAATCAAATTAAATTCAATGCAATTATTATCATCATTTAACAATTTGTTACAAGCTCCGATTTTGTCCATAATTTCTGTGGCTAATGGGGTGACATCTTTTTAGGGACATTTGTGGGATCGGGACTTCAAGGTCCCCAAACAATAGCCTGTCCTGCTGCTGCCAGCCCACTTGAGTAGTGTTCGCTTTAAGTGTGTGGAGAGTGGTTAATTCTATTTAGTTTTTTAAGATAATATGAAAGCTTTTCTAGAAAAAGTGTTGTATCACATATAGAGGAAGTGTTAAATATGTATTCTTGTGTTTACCATTTGGGTTTGCCAACTGTTTGGTTGCTTCAAGTCAACAGTTCGTAACAAAGTTTTGAATTCTTAAATGTACAGGGTATATATTAAAGAGTCAAATTAAACAGCTTAGCCTCAATAAAATGCTTTAAAGTAAATACATCATGATGAGCAGTCCGGTATCCGCTTCTGATTTCGATCACTTTAATTCCCTTAATAAGTTTGTCATCAAAATGCGATCAAAATCAAACGCAGAACCGATTTGTCTGCTTTCGATTTCGAAGAAGAGCACCAATTTAAGTTACGCTTAAACAATAATAATAAAAAAAAGGTTCGAACATGCTGGAGGGCAAAAAACATAGTTGTAGTAATAAATACGTAAGAGAAAAAGTATAACAGCTAAAAATACATTATAAATACTTAGCATAGCTTAGCGTTTCGTGTGCCTGTTTTTGTTGTTGGGACATGTCTGTGTGTGAGTTTCACTTCTTATATTTGTTTTTAAAACGCTAGGCGTTCTATAACGGCTTAGTTTTTTTGTTTTGTCACGCGCTTACGAACTACATAAATACACATCGAACATCAAAAATATGATAGCATATATGTTATATGCACGATTACAGGGGTGGCTCGATTTTCTCAAAATTTATAATGTCAAAAATGTAGTAATTGTCTTTTCAAATTGATTAAAAATAGTCCATTTGATTTTAGTTTAACTTTAACTTAAATGGATCTTATAGTTTTAAATGGTTTTAGTAAAGGAAAGATAATTCACAAAACAAAAATCGAACCACCTCAACTTGCACATGATTAATAAAAGTTTTTCCAATACGTAATACACAACAATGAGAATTACTCGCGACGCGTTCTCTTTGGACGTGAGGCGGCTATTGAATCTCCTCCTGGGGACGATGATGCCAAAGACGCTGCTCCAGTGGCTCCTGAACCACTGCCACCGCCACCGGCGACTCCACTCAGGACACTGTCTGCGGAGCTCGACGAAATTGCTGTGATGGTGGCTGAAATTGTGGCCGATTGCTTCTCCACTCCGCGAACCTTTCGCGAGGCCACCGACTGGGCGGTGACTTGGAGGGAAATAGCATGGGTGTTGAGCTTCTCGGCCAGCAGGAGATCCTTCAAGCCCTTCATCTTCTGGCTATACAAAGTGATCACTGGCCTCTTGAGCATTATCTCGTAGGGATCGTAGTCGTCGCTTGTCTCCTCCTTTTTAGCTTCTTTGTGCTGTAGTTTTCCCTGTTGTTGGGTGTTTGTTTGATTTTGGGATTGCAATTGAGCTTGGCCGGTGGCATTGCTAGCCTCATTGGAACCGGGCAACTGGACAGAGGTGCCACTGCCATTGCTTGTGGTTGTTGTTCCGGTAGTTGATGGAGCCTCCTTTTTGTCTGCATTATGGTTGTTGTTATTGCTGTTGCTATTGTTGTTGTTATTGTGGAGCTCTGTAACTTCGGATTCCCCGCCAGGAGGTTGTTGCTTCTGGTCGGCAAAGGGTTGACCTCCGCCCTGGAGCAGGAAGTCCGGATTGAGAATCTTCTCGCCGCAGGCAGCCGTTAAATCGGCCAAAGTAGTCGGCATCTCCGAATGTTTTGTTTTCTGTTTAAAAAAGAATACAGAAAGTTATTTATCAAATTAAATGGTTATATTTATATTTAATATTGAAAATGCTGTTGTTTTTAAATATGTAAAACCCTTCCAAAAACACAATCTTGGTATGTTGTGACCCTGCTATCATCTATCTGTAGGAGTTCTCTGATATATAACTCAGTATCAAAACAACCAGCAACCAAAATAGACCTCCTCTAATAGGTAAGGAAAAAGTTGTAAAATTTTTGTAATTGAATAATATTTTAACAAAACTCAACAAATACGAAGTACCTAAGATCCTAATTCAGTCTTATTACAGACCAAGGCACTTGAAATACGCAGTTATAACCGAAACTTTTATTCGGAACAATGGCAACTGTGTCAAAAAAAACCAATGCAACTCCGATTCCAATGGCGAAAAATGTGGTACTAAATAAAAGCGATAAAGAATCTGTAAGGAATCTTCTGGTGTTCTTGAACAACACACTGGATTGCGAATTGCGGGGCATGGAAGACCTGAAAACTGGAGCAGTGTACTGCCAAATAATGCACAGACTCTTTCCCACGACAATTCCAATTAACAAAGTTAAGTTTTATACGCACAACAAAAGCGAATTTGATGTGAACTACCGTCTGCTTCACAACTGCTTCGAAAAACTGAAAGTGTCGCAGCCTCTGCCGGTAGAAGAATTAATTGTGGGACACAATCAAATTGACTTTTGCAGATGGATCCACAAGTTCTTCAAATTCAACGACCATGGGCGCGAATACGATGCGAAAAAGGTGCGTAAAGACTCGCCAATCGGACTTAGTAAAAGTCTCCAGCTCGCCGCATTTTCAACTGGGAACTTGAATGCCATGTACAAATGTCAATCGATGACCTTTAACTACGCTAAGGATCCGTTTAGAGTCAACAGGAGAGGTAGTTTGGATAGTCGCAGATACAAAAACAATGAGCCGGAAAAGCAAACAAAACCCCCGATCCGGAAACCTCCTCCACCAAAGAAGACGACAAAGCCTTGTGATTTTCTCGTCGAGAGCAGGCACGTTTCGCTGCCATCGGATAGCGACGGCGAGCTGGAAATAGGTGCAAGTCCATCCCATCTGCAGAATCAGCTCATCGATAAGCTAAATTTTGAGAAGGAACATTTGGCCGGAGTAACATACACAATTGAGCCCTCTAACTGCGCGAATAGATGTCTCAAGCCTCGCGAATTTACTTCTTGGAAGGCTCTTAGCGAAAAGTGCGCACTGCTCACAAATGATCTGCAGACCAAGGATAAGTTGATCGGAAGTCTAAACTGCGAGATACGTGCTTTAAGCGCAGAACAGAAAATGATGGCCGGAAAGCTGCAAAGTGCGGAGCTTACATTGAGGTTGTATGGCAAAAGTCCTACGTTTGCTGTTCAGCAACTAAAGGAGATCCTACTCAATTCATCGCAAGTGGCTGCAGTTCGTCCGCGTACACGCCCTGATTACGCAGATTCCACAGCAACCAACCACGATGATAAGCCGAGCTGTTCCAATATGCAGGTAACCAGGGAAAGAGAGCAACATACACACTTGGCAAGGCCAGGAAAGCGAACAATGCCACCACGTCACAGCAAAGAATTCAAGACATGCATTGAATTTTCATCAAAAGACGGCAGGGTCACAGAACTAAAGGAGCAAAACTCATTGGAGTCTTTGTATGAATATCCAGTCGAATGTCATAGACGCCATTCCAGAAGCCCTGATAATTATTGCACCTGTCCTCGCTGCCAGCCCAGGGAAAGATGTGGGCACATGGATATGATTTGTTGCCACAGGCACTGGCGAAGTTCCGTTGAATCTTTGAACAGAGATCAGGATCACAGGCACAGACACCATTCTAGAACAAGAAGTCCGGAGTGCAAGCATAGGCACCATTCTAGGGAAGGCCATCACCGACATAGGCATCATTCGGAGGATTCAGATCAAGACAGAAGGCACAGAGGCTATAAACAACAATGTCCAATGCACTGCAAGCATACGAAAGCCATGCGAGTTTGCATTTCAAATTGGAAGAAAAACGATGACTCTGATTCCTCAAGTTCCACCATGGGAGGTACACATTGTTCCAAGTCGCTTAATCAAAATAACGCAACAAAAAAAGATAAAAAATAAGATACTTTTAAATGAATCGGATAAAGTTTGTGGATTGCAAGCCATGAATTATTCCTTCTGAGATTTTTTTTATTTTACGTGTTCCTCAGTTAGAAAGATGTTAAACGGATCGTCATGTATAAAAAGTATAAAATCTGTTACACAAAAAAGTTGCTCCAAATTTTTGTTCCCGATTTTACAATCTCAACAATTTTGCATTAGCTAATTCCAAATTAATATTCCAATTCCAATAAAATGTTTCGGTAAACTAATAAGTCTGCTTACCTCTTCCTTTTTCACCAAAGTATTGTTGTTTCCCTCCAAAGCCTCTGATCCTGCAGCTTCCTTCGACTCCTTAGCTTCCTTAGCCTCCTGTTCTGCCCTCGCCTGCTCCGCCTTGGCGTGCTCCGCCTCCAGATCCTCGGGCAGCTTGATGACCACCTGGGACCTAATGTCATAATCGAACTTGGTGATGTTATTCACCAGCGGTTTGGCCCAACCAATGTGCAGTATGGGCGTCAAACTGTCCTCCTCCCACTGACAAATGCCGTCGTAGAATCGCAGTAAGTTTGCGAACACCTCCGAATCTCTTAGGATACTTCTCGCCGAATGACCGGAACTCTCCGTTTTCATCACATAGGGTATTAGTTCGTTTGCAATGTCCAGCAGCTCTTTGTAAATCTCCTCGTCATCCCGGCACTGGTACGTATACAAACGGATAACATCCGCCGCATTTGCCCATGCGGCAAAGGCGTCTCGGTACTTGAGCAATCGGTTGAAGTAGTTTCCCTGGTAGGTGTACGGATATACATGATGGTTGCGGTAGTAGGTCCTGGCCGACTCTATGGCCTCGCGATATAGCTGCTCGCAACTTATGCTCGGATGTGTCCGATGGATCTCCTCCAGCTCACCGAGAGTGCCCAGGGCCATGGGATATCGTTTGAGGTGGCCGAGATCATATAGTAGCCACAGAAGCTGCTGCTGGAGCTCTGCCACCTCCACGCAGTCACTGTTCGAGGTCAACGAGATATTCAGAGCGGCACAAATAGCCGCCACCTCCATGCCGCGCTCACAAACCACCGCCAGACCACCTAATCAAAAAAAAGATACAATAATAATTAAAAATTCCATTCCATTTATAATCAAAGCTTACCCAAATAAAGCCAGGATCCGGATTCGATGCCAGGGCGAATGTCCTGACCCCGCTTATCCTCGCTGCCCTTTCCGTGCCATGTCACCTCGATGGTCTCCACGCGCTTCTGCCCAAATACCACCCAGGCATGATCCTCGGAGATGACCAGTCGCACGTCTTTGTAGCCAAGCAACTGACATCCCGCCACCACGGCCAAGGCCACTCCAAAGCAGTCCAACTTGTTGCCGGACAGGTAGCTGTATAGGTTCTGCAGATGCGCCCGATCCTTGTAGCTGCTGCGGATCAGCGAGTTCCAGATCACGTCCGACACCTTCTTGATCACCTCTCTGGTGGCCTGGCGATGGGGCTTTGGCTTCTCGACCACCGACAGAATCGTCTGGAACTTTTTGTAGAGTCCGGCGATCAGTTCGTGGGTCACCACCGGAAAGGGAACGCTGTTTCCCATTATGATGTCGTTTCCTGTATTTACAAATGGGAAAACCATTAATTGTTTTTTATTTAACAAACATTTAATTACATGATATTAAATTAGGGTGGTCATCTCAAAGAAGTGTCAGTTATAATTAATTAAAATTTTTGTTTTCTTTACTTCTTGTTACTTAATTAATGCACCTCCTGCATTTTTAACTTGCACTAATTAAGAACTTCATGCCGGCAAGCAGCCCTTAACTACTGAAGTATGCTACTTAATTTGTGCTTATTAACCACAACAGGGGCCTGAAACTTTGCCAATTCGTCTGGAATCGCTTCCGTTTTAACTGGTTTCCCTTTGCTAAAAGGTTAACGGTGAACGCGGGCAGTAAAAGGCGAGTGTGACTGATGAGCGGGGGGCAATACACACCTGTCGCCGCCTGACCGATGTCACCTGCTGCGGCAGCGGCGGCGGCGGCTTGAGCGGCCTGAGCAGCAGCCTCTCCAGTCGTCAAAGACAGCTCAATATAGCCGACCACAATCGAGAGCAGGGTGAGATCGGGCTCGATGCCAGAGGTCAAAGCGCGACGGAACAGATTGACCACATCGGCCGTGGACTTCAGGGGGAACAGGCTGGCATCGATGACGCCGTTGAGCGCCATGGGACTCGCACTGGCGCTTCTGGTAACCGTGGACATAATTGCGGGCGGGGGTACTTTTAATAACCGAAATAACTTGCAGGAACTTAGGACCTCTGACTGCAAGGATGAGAAGAAAGAGCATTAATACAGGGTATAGTTTCAATTGAAAGGTAGTTCTCAAAATCTTACATTTATTAGAAAGCAACTAGTCAAACAGGATAGTTATGAATATAATTTAGAGTAACTTTTTTTCCCAAAAAACAATTTATTTTTTTTAAGATTAGCCAGAACTATTTACATTCGATCTTACTAATCAGCAAAATCGAACATATTTAGCAGATTTACTGAAGTCTTACCAAAATCCAATGGCCTAGTCCTTATAAAGATGAAAAAGATTCCTTTCCAATTTGGTTGTAGTTCTTGACGTGTTCGGTTTTTTGGGCTCTTATTAGCCTGTTCTTATATCCTTCAAAATAAATAACGAAACAATTACATTTTTAACAACTTGGGAAATTCCATAAGCTTACCCAAATCGTTTCCAAAGTGCTGAAATTATTTCCGAGTCAGCTCTTTAAATAATTTTTCCAAATCTGTTTTCTTCTGTTTCTATTGCTTATAAATCCAGTAACTCTTTGATGATTGTTATATTACCCAAGGAGCATTGCTTTATTTTCCACCTGTTTGCAGATGGTATTTGTGGTTTTTATAGAGGTACCCTCTTTTGAGCTGCCGCAAAAACGAAGAGTATATTTTTAGAATACTCAAACAAACATTTTCAGCTTGCACACTCACCCAAACAACAGGATATCCCTTTACTTTCTTCTAAACTTGTTATGCTGCGTCTTGGAAGCGCCTTATTATCCTGCGGAGGACCTGGGACTTTCGCCTGGATTCGCCCGATGCAGAATGCTGGGTTTTTGTTGCTGCTGCTTGTACAGCCAGCCACTTTGTGGCTGCAACATTGGCAACAAGTTGACAAACAACTTTTGTCGTTGTCGCACCTTTTCTTCTCGGCCCTTTTTTCCGCTTATTTATTTTCTCCTTTTCCTCGCTTTGTACTTTTGAGAGCAGGATTTCTGTTGCTGCTTCACTTGCACTTCTCATTTGCAGCAACAACAACAAAGGCAACAACTAAACAACTGGTTTTCTGCATGAATGTTGGTTTGTTTGTGTGCGCGAGTGCGTGTGTGTGTGTGTGCAGCATGCATGTGCATGAGGTGCTGCACTGGAAAATATGTATATATCCTGTGGCCCGCGTCCTTCGTCCGCCTTCCACGTCATCAATTAATCGGCTCACGGGGACAGGTGAATTTCTCGCACCTTTCTTTCACTCGCCCTTCCCTTGTTGTTGTTGTTGTTGCCCGTTTACTTTTCGATTTCGCGTTTTGTTTTTGTTTTTTTTAGTCAACCCGCCACCCCCTCTTCCCGTTCACTTATTTTCCACTTGACACGCAGTTACCCGTTTGCCGCCCGAATCGCCCGATTATCTCATCGCACTTTATTCCATTTGATTCGAGCATTATCATTAGCTGTGCCGCACTTTGGGCACTAATTGGGCGGTTTTATTGCGCGGCAGACCAGGTGAAAACCAGGTGAAATTCCGACGAAATATTGCGTTGTGTTTACCTCGCTGCGCCAGTGTGTCCACACCCAGCACGTGCCCATCCAGTGTTGCAAAGAACCGATCTCTTGGTTGAGGTATTTTTGGTATTTACTGGGAATACCAGAGAACGGTAAACATAATTTAAATTTAAGCGGGTTACCCCGTTTCAAGACCACCAATTTTGGAATAGTTTGGTTTATTCTCATTAGTACCATAGATTGAAAGTGTTACTTATTTAATAATTTTCTTTCTTTTTTCTTAACAGGAGTTTTTTTTTAAATTTTATGATTACACTCGGTGTAAAACATTTTATCTTATACAATTTTAAAATGTTATATTTTGTAGAACATTATTAATCTAGAACACTATTAGTACATTAACATGGATATATTTTATATATGCGACTGCAATCCTTTCCTAGATCTCGACTTTCTTTTAACTATTTTGTTTTTTATGGTTCCTAAAGCCTTTCGAATCACATTTTTGACCGGCTCGTTTGGGTGGACTATTTTTGTCGCAGCTGAAATTAGTTTAAAAACATTGATATATAAATAAACCTTTTAGTATCGACTAGGCTTACCCTCCAAGACGTCATAAAAAGACTTGTAGGACCCTAAAGACAGTTTACCGGCACTTCCTTTCAAATTAAATTTGTTTACGAGGTCCTCGTCCAGAATATTATTCAGTTTCCTGGAAAGGGGACCGCGGGCCAAGTGGTCGCAAATTCTACTGATCTGTAAAAAAATAAATTTATATTAATATATACAAAATTTTAATATTTTTTGTATGTAAAACTGATTTATATTTAAAAACTTATATAGTATGCTTACATAAAAGTCCCTAAAATCTGGGGAAAATTGTCTTTCAAAATGGTCCAATTCGGCCAAAGATGTAATGGGGAATCTTATGACCTTAGAGGGTTCAGGCGCATCATCTTTTTTGTGTGTGACTTTTGGTTTGTGCTTTTGCTGACCCTTTTTTCCCGCGAGCTCAGCAAACTCCTTTGAAACTAGGTCAAGCTTAACTCTGAGGAGTTCGTTTTCTACAGAAAGATTAATTGTTTAAATGATATATAACAGCAAACATTGAAAGAATAAAAAGGTTTCGGTAATTTTCTTTATGTAAATGCGCCAATAAAGGTACTTGGATTTTTATCATGAATGTCTCAAAATTATTAAGATTTTTAAGAAGAAGATAATTAAGATGTAAAGAGAAAAACTGTTCATAATAAAATATAATTAATATTCACCTTTCAATATAGCAATAATTTGGTTTTCAACTGATTCTGAAAGATAATTTCATTAGACAAGGAGTATATTTTGTAAATTGAACAAACTAACTCAATATCGATGAGGCTGTGCTATGATGATTTTGTTTTATATAATGGTCGATATTAACATCTGGAATTTGGCACGATCCTTCCTCAATTACATCATCATTAATTGCTTCGTTCTTTACTAGGCATTCATCTTCGTAGGGCTCCTCCATCTCCAGAAAATTATCATCGATTTCTTCTAGCTTTATCTGCAAGTTAAACTCTTGGCTTTTTTCACCACTGTTAGATCTGGTTCTCTGAAAGTCTGGAATCACAAATTCCTCCTCATGCAAGATTTGCTCTTTGTACTGAGAGTAAATCTGCTGGTTCTTCTCGTATCTTTGTTTGATCTGATATGCGATTTTAGCATCCTGAAGGCAGGGCGGGCAAATGGTCTCTGGAAAAGGATCTTCTCTAGAAACGTGCGAACCGGTAAATTGCGATATCATATCAGCAATTGAAATGCCCAGTTCTATCGGGTTGTCAAATACATTGACCATGTCTCCGGATTTATCCAGGCAAATTCGGCAGATTTTCTTCATTGTCCTTAAATTAAATATTTAGAATTAACGTTTTAACAGGTGGATTAACAAGGACTTATGTATAAGCACCCGAGTTGTTTATGGAGCCACCCCTGGCTTTTGTTATCAACAAAAACCAAATATATGCACTTGTCATTTGCTGCGTCACGCGTGACAAATGGTCAGCACTTCATGTAAGCTAATCCAACCTGCCGAAGCAGATATTTTTGTGTTCCTATAAAATATAATAAACATATGTACCTTTGCACTCTAGATTTTAGAATTAAATAACTTATTCGCGCCTATCATTTATATTTTAGAGTCAGTAATGTTATAAGACAATAATCACGGAACCAAAACTGTAGGCTGTGTTAGGAGCACCAAAAAATACCAAGATATTTATGCGACTATGCTGGTTAAGGCCACGTTGCCACTATGTTGCTTCTTTGCATCTTTAGTTGGAAAGGTTATTTTCATAAAAAAGAAGGACCAAATTAGATTATCTTTTCAGGGGGACTTGTTCCAGAAGCCATTTCTGCAAATTTTATTTAATATTTTAATTTGTATACATATTCATAGTGATAAAAGGTAAGCAAGTGTCATATGGCCATTTGCAATACCGAATAACTCGTAATTTCTCTGAATTCGCATACTCAGACTTAGTAACCCAATGCCAAAGAAAACTCTCAGGTTCGATTTGTATTTAACGATGTTCTCTTTATTTGCAGATATAAATAAATATATTGGTAATTAAAACTAATAACTTTTACAATCTGTTCTGTATTCCAAATTTTTGTATAATTTACGTTTTTGGGCACGCACTCGATTAGCTTGTAATGCCAACTCCTCAGTTGAAATGCTATTAAACACAAATCCTCGAAAAACGCGTACAACTCCAATTAACATATGTTACTTCTTGATCTTAATCGATATTTGCTTAATCCATGATATTTTCGTTCTTTAAATTAAAACCGTTCAAAGTCAAATAACAAAAGTATGTATCTTTCAATTTTACACTTCAGATTTCAGAATCCTGTTAATAGACTATAACTGCGAGCTAGAGTGGTGTTCGCAAGTGTTTGGATAACATGTGTCCGTGTTATGCTACTGCTTGATTGGCCATCAGTGTGCTTTGCTAATAAACAGCCATTGATTACTGGTTCTTGGATGCCGTTTCTCATAAATGATTCTATTAATACGCATAATTTCAAACATTTGTTCAGTGATCTTAAGTTCTTGTGTCTCGAGTTTTGGGCGCTCTGCCTTGAAGCTATGCTCACAGTTCCCGCATAGCCAAGGGAGCACCGACCCAGGATAGGACTAGAAAAATAATCGTTTCTCGCTATAGTTTATGTATTTTCGTTTGGTAGTGCGCCAAGCACCGAAATAAGAATTAAGTCAAAGCAATAGCATTTTGAGTTATGATCTTTGTGATACAGTATTGGGAGGGTCTGCGGAGCACGTCTCTTGTGTGGAAAGCAAAAAACGCAAACTATATACGCGTGTAAAAAAATATATATATATGTACCTCCTTACTTAACCACATTCAAGTTACAGATTGATCTCTCTCTTATGTTTGTTCTTTCTATATACAACTTTGCACCAGCTTTGACCCTATACACAGGGAAATCATAAAAAATAAATGTATACATGGTTTCGTTTTCGTTTACGTGGTAATAAACACAGGAAAAATAAATACAAAATTGGCAAAATGTAGTTTAAACTAAAAATAGCTGCTTTGGAACTCGGTGTTCAACGAACTGGCCATCGTTTGGTTCTTAAATTGCCGCCGTCAGTTGAAGCAAAATAATAATAATATGCGAAGTACTCGATTAATAACTACTAAATTTAAACATTTCTCTATATGTATTTACAAATCACAGCTACAAACACTAAAACCTTCTTCCAGTGTTGCTTAAGGTGGCGCTGACAGGCATTATGCGGGGCATTAAACAAAAAAATGAAACTGAACGTTCCCACGATTACATTGCGTTTCGTTAATCAACTCGTTCCCGCGTTGTGCTTAAAAAAATATTATTTAACTCGCAAAAGGCATCCTTTCATTCCTTTAAAAGTAAACTATAGTCCAGCAAGCGTTAGAATAAGATTGTGAATGATTGGCTATCTGCTTTACAGCCAACCGCCCTTGCGGCCGAAAAGCAAGGAACTAACTGAACCCACAAACGCCTGTGTGATGCTCTGTGGTGCCGCCTCCTCCTCCTCCGCTGCCTTTGCCTCATGTCGCTTGGTGCTCAGCTTGCTGCTGCCGCTTTCGGCAACTTTTCCCAGATCGGGACGCACCCGACCGCCGCCTCCAGAAATTGTGCCCAGATCGGGTCTCTGGCTGGCCATGCCGTTCTTCAGCTGCCTCCGCGATTTCTGGCGCTGCATCTGCTTCAACCGCGTTTCGCTGGCCGTGCCGTTGGACGTTGTCGTCGTCGGTGCACTCGATCCAGAAGTTGGCTGACTTTGTTGTGCTGCTGTTGTGGTTTTGGGTGTCGCGCCCTTTGATGACTTGCTTTTCATCACTAAACCCTGGTCGTCGCTATCATCGCTGTTGTAAGCGCTGGTGCTGCTGCTCGTCGACAAAGCTACGGCGGCTGCTGCCGAAGTTGATGCTCCAGCGGGCGTGGGCGACTTTAAGCCTCGATGCAGCACACCCTTGATTTGAGCCCGATCAAAGTGTATGTCGTCCACAATGCTGTTGGTGCTGGTGTGCAGACTCTGCAGGCTGCCACTGCTCAGCGGCGAACTACTGCGGTTTGCAATACCCGAGCCAAGGCCTCTCTGTGCGCTTATTATATTCTCCAGTCCAATGCTCTCCACCTTCTCGATGAGGTTCAACGATCGCAAAGCCCGTCTCTCCAGGTGCGACAGCATGATCTTTTGCTGCTGCTGCTTGCTGAGGCTGCTCCGTTGCTTATGTTGCTGCTGCTGGTGCTGATCGCCGACGATCTTACGACGTATTAAATCCGCACCCGACGAGAGCAGTCCAAAGAGTGGCTCAGGCGACTGCGCGCGAGGAGGCGATCCCTCCGGGCTGTTGCATGGCGTCACAGTGGGCGAGAAGTTTGGACCGGCGGGCGTGTTGAGGGCACTGGGCGTAACCGCCTTGATACCCCTCTCATTCAGCATCCCGGCGAGTCCGAGGTTCACCGAAAATGTGGAGCAGGAGTTTTTGCGCGAGAGTCCAGCGCGGGGCGTGGCGGGACAACTAAAGGGGCAGAAAACAAAGTATTATTAAATTGTGATTCAACAAATTTTAAAAAGCAAGTAATTGAAAGCAAAAAGAAAAGGAATGAAGTTAAATTCGTAAAGTATTTTTATCAAAAGATTACTTTTGAATGTGTTAAACTAGTTCCAGGAATGTCTACAATATAGTCGAAAAACTTTGTGACAAGGAAAATGATTGCGTAATCTGTCAGATAAAATATAGATAAGAATATATTTGTTAATTACCTGGGTTGTCTCGATGTCGATGTGGAGGCCATTCGCGAGGACATCTGCGACTGCGACAGGAACGACAGATCGTTAACAAAGCCATCGTCCGGATGCATAACCATGCTGTTGGTGTAGGTGAACGTGCAGCCCGGCGCTTCGAACTGTTTGCCGGGCAGCTCATCGCTAACGTCCTCCTCGACGTCCGAGAGCGTGTAGATCTGCATGCCCAGGTCGTCTAGCCCACGCCCACCGCGAATCGTAACGCCGGGACGCTCGTCCAGCAATCCACTGAGTGTGGGCGTGGCCAGGCGCGACCAATGGTGCAATGTCTGCGATCCCTCCATCGGTTTGATGATCTGCAGTTTCTCGGGCAGGCGCCATTGGTGCGTCATCGAGGCGGACATGTGATTCGTAGAGCCCGACATTCCAGAGGAGCCGGTGGACATGATACTGTCCGGCGTGCGCACGCCCAACGGGAGGTCAGAGTTGCGGTCTTTTCCTGCTCCATGAGTCATGGGCTCATCATAGTTATAGGTTCCAGCCGGCGCATAAGACAGCATAGCACGGCGAGCTAATACCTCCGCTGGCGTCAGCCTCTTGAGTGCCGCCTCCAGCTCCTTGGCGCCGGGCGCTCCTGGCACACCAGAGGGCTGGGCTGGATAACCGTCATCTGACTGGGAGTTGAGACTCTCGCTGGACAGAGTTTTAACGCCCAGCGATTGACTGCTACCGCCACGATAGTATGAGCCCGCTGGATACGCCATCGAAGCCATGCGCGGCCCCGAGGTGCTGCTCATCGACATGGCGCCCAGTTGGGTCATCGACACGTTGCCGCTGTCCATGTAGTTGCCGCTCTTGCCGGCACATCGCACCGTGTCGAACACCCGCTTGTACGGAGGCACGTTGCCAGCTCCTGCGTAGATGCTGCCGCCCATGGAGGATGTACTCATGCCGCCGGACGGCATGTTCATCATCATGCGATTAATGCGGTCCGCAGATCGTTGGCTGTCGCCGGATATGCCAGAGTCCAGGCTGTTCTCTGAGTACTGCGACGACTCCATCAGCTCGAAGTGCAGCGAATCCGGCTGGAAGAGACCACCTCCAACGCCTGCACCACTTGTGCCCAGGCCACCGAGGAAGGAGCTTCTAGCCATCGGTTGAGACCGCTTGCGCTGCTGCTTCAGCTGATCCTGGGCCGAGTGCAGCAGGGCGAGCACCTCTTCGTAGCGCTGCTTGAACTCCACCAGCTCCAGGGCCAAGGCATTTTGGTTCTCCTTGGTCACGTGTAGCAGGGACAGGTGCTCGTCGTTGTCTTGCGTCAGTTGGTGCAGCCGCATCTCCGCCTCCGCCAGGCGAGCTGTCAGGCTCACGATCTGCTCGTGCTGCAGTCGGTTCTCCTCCCGTTGCCGCTCCAACTCCAGACTGAGGTTGTCGTACTGCGAATTGGCATCGTTCAACTGGGCACTGATGTCGGCCATCAGCTGGCGCTCGTGCTCCTCCACCTCGTCCGTCTGGTGGGCCAATTGGGTGGCCTCGCACTTGAGCGACTTATTCTCGTCGATCAGAGTGTTTACCTTGCGCTGCAGCAGGTCCAGGGTAATGGACTTCGACATGGTGGGAGTGTCTGTGAAAATACAAATTGAACAATGGTTAACACTAATATGTTAGCAGCTATCTGCCAATTAGAAAACAAGGAAACCAATATAAAACCTACAGCACATTCTATGCACTTAGGTTGATATCATCTTAAATTAAAAAAATAACTCACCAGTATCTGTGCCATCGTCTGCATCGTTGGTAAGCACCGAGATAAGCTCGTTCTTCTTGTGCAGCTCGTGGACAAGCTGGGCGCGATCGTCGTTGGAGGCCTTGAGATCGGTCTCCAGATCGGCGACTCGGGCCTCGAGGGCATTGTTCTGGGTGAGCAG